TCATGTGAATGAACTAATGAGCATATCAATTGAAGGAATGGAAGTACCAGACACACGAGAAGCCACCGAAGATGAACGCACTGCATTCAAGAAGTTCATTAACAGAGTTGTGGAAAACTATAACAAGAAACCAAGAAGGATGTAGACGTAGTGCTCCATGGAAGGCTTGAGTAGCCAACTTTAATTTGTGATGATTTTAAAACATGTTAAATCTAAGAAAATGGTCATGAAACATTTTTCAGTTTTTACTATGGTGCCATACAGCACCCCCTTCACCTGCACGGTCTCAAACCTCATCGGCCTTGACCATCCCACTATAAATTCGACCCCCCCCCCATTTCAATTCCTGGGGAAAACACTGGAGGGACATGGGTTGGGAGGGGCAAAGGGATACGGGCTCCCCACCCACTGGTGCAAGGATAGTTGAATCTTCTTGTGCCCCTGCCTTGTGGCTGGATCGCAGCCAGTGACCCCAAAGGGGAGAGACCCCATGTCCCATTGCCCACCCCCCTGAGCCAGCCATTCCCCGGCTCTGTTACAAGGAGATACTCCGCTCCCAGCACCGGGTGTGTGTGACATCATCTGGACTGGTGATCTGCTAGGTCACTCCAATCCTCGACTCTGGGAGCCAGCCTTACCCTGCTCCGCTGTGACAGCCCCACTCCCGGGCTGTTCAAGCACAGCCTCTGGCATGTGAGCTGCTCCCAGCTACAGGAGTGAGCACTTTTGTCCAGCCGCTGCTTGGATTGTGCAACCAAATGACACTAGCCAATATCTCCGGTCCCAGACACAAACCTAGGAACCTCTGTCTTGCAATGTCCAGTTCTGCCCACTGGACACTGCAAGCTTATATGAGTTCGTCAATTTAACAAAAAAATTGATATGTACCAGGCTTGTTATCTCAAGGGGCGTCTCTAACACACTTCAAACCAAATGCACTGTTTCAGGTAGCATAAACAAACAAATTTATTAACTACAAAGGATAGATTTTAAGTGATTATAAGTCAAAACACACCAAGTCTGATTTGGTCAAATGAAATAAAAGCAAAACACATTCTAAGCTGATCTTAACACTTTCAGCGCCCTTACAAACTTAGATGTTTCTCACCACAGGCTGGCTGGTTGCCCTTCAGCCAGGCTCTCCCCTTCGATCAGCACTTCAGTCGCTTGGTGTGTTGTCTGTAGATGGAGGTGGAAGAGAGAGGAAGAGCATGGCAAACCTCTCTCCCTTTTATCATGTCCTTTCTTCCATCTTGGCTTTGCCCCCCCCCTTCAGAGTCAGGTAAGCATTACCTCATCGCAGTCCCAAACTGACCAAGGGCAGGGTGGTGATTCATGCGAGAGTCCAACAGATCCTAAGCCAGTGTCCTTTGTTCTTGTGAGGCTGGGCTGGGTTTTCCCACACATGCCCTGATGAGGTGTGAACTGCACCTCTGCTTCTGGAGAGTTTTTGCCTGGGCCCAGTGCCAGGTGAGGGTTCCCTGTATAACCAGTGCCCCACTCCAGAGGTGGCTGCATCTCAGTGCTGGGCGAGAGGTCCCTGTATAACCAGCCCATGCACCCCACCCCATCTCCACCAGGTGTTACACACATTCCCGGTATGGGCACAGGGGGGCTGTGGAGTGCCCAGGTTGGGCTGGTTTGTGGTTCTGTGTTTATTACAAATCTGGAGATTAACAGGATGCAAAATAAAATAAACAGCCACCTCAGCGATGTGACGAAGTTGGGGATTGTCTTGTTTTTTCCTTGGTTTCCAATGGCTTGCATGCAGAGGGGGTGGGACTCAGTTTCCCTGAGTGTTACTGGTTTAACGATGTGATGGGAGAGGGAGTTTGTCGTAACAGAGGACCGGTGAGGGAACTTGGGACCCCAGCCAATGGCCGGGAGAATGGAGACCCCAGCGACTGGTGACCTGGCGACCTGGTGACCCGAAGGCCCAGCTCAGGAGTGGCAGCTGGTTCTGGCCAGTGGGAGGACAATGGGCTGTAAAGACAGGACCCCGGTGACCTGACCCACTGGTTCCAGCCAGAGGGGGCCAGAGGACAGAAGAGAGGAGAAGAGGCCCAGGGGACCCTGTTTATCTGGAGAGAAGACAATGGAGAGAGGCGGGGCTTGGGGCCGGTGATATCAGATGCCCAGCTGGGAAGTAGGTGGGCTCTGGCCTGGAGAGAGGGGGCAGGCAGAGCCCACCTGGATGCAGGGGAGACTGGGATGTGCTGTGCTGAGGGAGGCCAGGCCTGAGGCCCTGAGAGTTTCCTGTGCTGTGTTCAGACGCTCAATAAACCCTCCTGTTTTATGCTGGCTGAGAGTCACTATGGTCTAGAGAACAGGGTTGCATTATTCCCTTTGGGAGTGGAGGCCCCGGGGGTCCAGAGCGAGTGGACTCCCTGAGGGGGCCCACGGCGAGAGACAGGTGTGCTAAGGCTCAGAGAGGTGCGGTTCCAGGAGGTGGAGGGGCTTGACCCCCAAGAGAGAGTGGACTCCCGAGAAGGACTGTCACACTGAAGGAGGTTACCCCCACGGACCGCACGGGGCCAAGAGTGGGAATGACCTGGGAGTCTGTGACAGGCACATCCCCTCCCCTTTCCGGTGCTGAGCCCCCCACACCAGCCCCTACATGTGGGTCTGGGCAGGGCTGAGGGACAGCAGCTTGATGGGACAGGGCTGCAGCGCAGGGAGGGCAGCATTTCCCCTAAATCTTCCCTGAAAACAGAGTTCTCCGGGTGGGTGCTGCAAGAGGGTGAGTGTGTCACCCCCTGGGGGCCGGTGCCCCATGGCTGCGGGGGGCTATCACTGCGGGGCCCCCCGTCTCACATTGATCACGGTGTACACGCTGGGCTGGGCGGGCTTAGGGACCGGGGACGGGCTCCCCCGCTTGGCCTGCAGCGCCTTGCCATCCAACTCGGCGTAGGTGAGTCTGTCAGGCTCCTGGGGCTGGGAAGGGAGAGAGTAACTGGTGTGTGTGTGTGAATCCACCAACACCCCAGCACACACACACACACACACACACACACACACACCCCTGCAATCCCAGCTGCGATCCCATAAGCCCCTCACAGCAACCGAACCCCCACCCTAAAAAACTGAGTGTGCCAGGTAAGGTGAGTGGGGCCCATGTGGATCAGGGTTGGGGGTCAGGCCCCATGGGGGAACAGGGGACACTTACCAGGGTCTGCGGCTCTTCCCCTTCATTAATGGTGGCGTCTGCAGAACAGAGACACCCACTGAGCTGCACCCCTGGCCGGCCCAGAGCAGAACCCCACACCCAGCTCCAACCCCTTCGTCCAGCCAGGGGGGTCAGAGCCCGGCACAGCCACCCCTACCCCGCCCCACAATGTGGGCCAGGGTCATTAGCCCCGTGTTACAGAGAGGTAAACTGAGGCACAAAGATGTCTAGGGGGTTATAGTGGGGGAGGGGGCTGGGACTTAGAACGCCTGTGTTCTCTCCCTGGCTTGGGAGGAGAGTGGGGTCTAGACTAGTGGTTAGAGCAGGGGGCTGGGAGCCAGGAGTGGGTGGGGAACTAGAGCGGGAAGGGAGGGTGGCCCCAGGGAGCTCCTGGGAGTCCAACACTCTCAGCTGACACCGGCTACCTCTGGGACCCTCTCCTTATTCCTGCCCAGTAGCAGCTGTGAATCAGGCCCTGCCGCATATGGGTGGAGCCCCCTAAAAGCCCCTCCCCGGGGTCCTGCCCCACCCTGGTACCCCCTTGGATGTGCTACTCACAGATGGGGTCTTGCTGAGTCGGCGCCTTTAATGACACCATAGGGCTTGTGCTAAAAGAGAAAATCCCCTTGTAAATGTCATATCCCCCCACCCATGGGGAGATTCCCCAACACACCCAGAGAGCCCCCCATCCTGCCTCACACTGAACCCAGTTCCCTAAACCCCCTTCCCAAACCACCAGAAACCACCCCACCCTGCTCTAACCACTAGACCCCACTCCGCTCCCAGACTAAGCAGAGAACCCAGGAGCCCTGTGACCCTGGCAGGTCGATCGGGAGGGGGGTGGAGCCGGGTTCCTACCAGCTCGGTCTCGGTGCGGCGCCTTTTCCTGCAGAGGGACACAAACCAGAATCCCCCATGAGCCGATCGGGATCGCCCGGTCCCAGCGCCCGGCCACTCACTCCCACAGGGCAGCAGGGATGGGGGTGTCTGAGGGGGTCCCGTCTGCTGCTGGTGCTGAGCCTGGATCCCTGCTGGGGTGGGCTGGATCAGCCGGGGGCAGCACAACACCATAGCATGCACCGGGGGGAGGGGCAGATTAACTCAGGGGGCTTTTCCTGTCCCCAATCCTTCCTCGTTAGTGACTTGTTATAATGAACCTGATCCATAGGTCTCAGAGTAGCAGCCGTGTTAGTCTGTATCCGCAAAAAGAACAGGAGTACTTGTGGCACCTTAGAGACTAACAAATTTATTAGAGCATAAGCTTTCGTGGGCTACAACCCACTTCTTGTAGCCCACGAAAGCTTATGCTCTAATAAATTTGTTAGTCTCTAAGGTGCCACAAGTACTCCTGTTATTTTTGCTGATCCATAGGTCGGCTCCCCTGACATCCCTCGTACATGAGAGGTACGGTGCCAATGGCTTGTTATACAGGGACCCCTCGCCCAGTGCTGAGTTGTGGCCCTTCTGGGGTGGGACAGCTGTGTACAGGGATTACCCATGCAGCAGAACCCCCTGCTGAGCCCCCACCCCACTCCTTGGCTTTCCCGGCACAGTTCCCCATCCAAGCCGTGACCCCATCCCGCCCTGCTTAGTGGCAGGTTTAACCCTTCCCTCACTGGGCGGGGCACTCACTGGCTCGGGTTTTTCTGAAGCAGACAAAGGCCACGAGGAGGAGGAGGAGGAGGAGGACGGCAGCTGCTGCGCTCGCCCCGGCGATGATGGGGCTGGTCAGACCCAGAGGTGCCGGCGATTCCGATCCGCCTGGGGAACAGCAGCAGCCGTGAGTGCCGGGAGCAGCTGGTCTGTTCCCCCCCCAGCCCCTCCCACCTCAGGTGGTGTCCAAGGGGCTCGGGCACCGCAGGGCGCAGGCAGCAGAAAATTCTATGGGGAGGATGTTGGGGTGGCCCCACGGCATCAAGTGGGGTCAGAGCCAGCAACATTTGAGGGATTTGTTGCACTGGGGGCACTGGGCTGCAGGGGGCGGGGGGCTCCGTAGGGGGCGCTCTCCCCATCAGTCAGAGCTGGCCTCATTGTCCCAGCACAGCGCTAGGGGGCGCTGTCTGATCCAGCCTGGCTGACATTTCTAAGGCATTTCACCCCCTTCCTCATGGCCACACCGGCTCAGGCCAACGGGCCCATCTAGCCCGGTATCTCGCCTCCCATGCTCACTGCTCCTGGCTGCTTCGCAGGGAGCTCCAGGGCACTGCCCCACCATGGCCACTGATGGGCCCAGCTGCCCCCAGAGGAAGTCTCCAGCTGCCCTGTTAGCAGCAGGTTTGTGTCTGAGCAGGAGGCTTCGGTCCCCTCCCAAATCCATCGGCTGTGGGAGGGGGGGAGTCACTGCCCCTGAGAACAGCCTCCGTCCCTCCCCCTGGGCAACCACTTGGGGAAGCTGCCTCATAATCTGTGACTCAATAGATTCCCCCCTTGCCCTGCAGTGCCCGGGCGGGTGGGAGCCGGCGCCGCTCCAGGCTGGGTCGGGTCGGTTCCCCCTGTGGGAATAGAACCAGCATCTGTCGGGGCGGGGGGAGGGGCTGAAACACCAACTCAGAGATAGCTCCCCCACCCTCCGCAACCAGTGGTGGATCAGCCACTGGACCTACGGGGCCCGTGCCCAGGGGCCAAGCCAAGTGGTTGGCCCAGGAGCCCCGGCCGCGCGGTGAGCAGGCCGGGAGAAGCCCCAGCACCCCAATCCTGGTCCCTCGCAGAAGCACAGGGAATGGGGGGACAAGGAAAATCTTAGCACCGGTACCTCCGGTACGGCCCCAGGATGGGAGGAGTCTCCCTACATGCCACAGCATCCGGGCTGGGGGAGCTCTCACTCCCCGCTGCACCCTGGGGCCGGGGCAGGGGGACAGAGCTTCTCCGGTTTTCTGGCCGCAGTGGGGGAGGCAGAAAGTAGCAAATGGGTTGTGGGGCTGCAGTGGGGGGACAGAATGGGGCAGGGCCATGGGTGGAATGGGGCGGGGCCCTGGGGAAGGGGCAGAAAAGAGTGGGGCAGTGGGTGCCGACCTTCTGAGGGTGGGGCTGGGAGCGGGGAAGTGGAGCCGGGCCCCTCACCTGCTACCACCAGCTCCACGGGGTTGCTGGGCTGCGAGTAGACGAAGGGCTCTGATCGGCGCCGGTAGCTGCATCTGTAGTTCCCTCCATGTTGCCGGCCCACGGTGGGGATGTGGAACTCGGCCCCGTCCCCAGCAGGGTCCATGTGTCGCTGCGGGTTCAGGTCTCCAGCCTTGTGCAGGAAGAACCTCACGTCCTGGTGCTGCCCCTGACACCGGATGGTGACGTCTGCCCCTGGGGCGGTGACCCCAGTGGGGCTCAGAGAGATGGAGGGTCTGGGTAAGCTGGGATCTGCACACAGGAGACAGGCTGTGAGAGCCAGACCCGGGCACCCACCCAGCCCTGGCCTCCAACTGCAGAAGGGAAGAGTGAAGGGGGATTTGATAACAGCCTTCAACTCCCTGAAGTGGGGTTCCAAAGAGGATGGAGCTGGGCTGTTCTCAGTGGTCGCAGATGACAGAACAAGGAGAAATGGTCTCAAGTTGCAGTGGGGAAGGTCTAGGTTGGATATTAGGAAACACTATTTCACTAGGAGGGTGGTGAAGCACTGGAATGGGTTCCCTGGGGAGGTGGTGGAATCGCCATCCTTAGAGGTTTTTAAGGCCCAGCTTGACAAAGTCCTGGCTGGGATGATTTAGCTGGGGTTGGTCCTGCTTTGAGCAGGGGGTTGGACTAGAACCTCCTGAGGTCTCTTCCAACCCTGATCTTCTATGATTCCCCGGCCAGCCCTAGGCACGGGCAGATCTAGGAGCTCCCTGGCAGAGATTCTCTCCCAGATCACAGGGTCCCCCTGACCCAGAATCCCGGCCCTGCGAGCTGGGCTCCCAGCCCCACAGACAGCAATCCGTGGCTGCCTAGTTCTTGGAGTCCTCATATACCATGGGTGGCCCCTGCCTCATTCACTGCGTCCAGCCCCCTCGAGCACAGAGCGACTCATGGGCTGGTCTCTGGTTCCCGGCACTGCAGGGCCTGATCCCCACACATGAAGGGAGTTAGCCCCCCGGGAGGCAGTGAAGCATCTTTATCACCATTCTACAGGGAGGGAAACTGAGGCACAGACAGATTCATTTTCCTTAGTGAGCTCCCAGGGGCAGGGACTATCTCTTCACTCTGTGTTTATGCAGCGCCTGGCACAACAGGGCCCTGATCACACAATCATGGAGCAGGTCCTCAAGGAATCAATTCTGAAGCACTTAGAGGAGAGGAAAGTGATCAGGAACAGTCAGCATGGATTCACCAAGGGCAAGTCATGCCTGACTAACCTAATTGCCTTCTATGAGGAGATAACTGGCTCTGTGGATGAGGGGAAAGCAGTGGATGTGTTATTCCTTGACTTTAGCAAAGCTTTTGATACGGTCTCCCACAGTATTCTTGCCGCCAAGTTAAAGAAGTATGGGCTGGATGAATGGACTGTAAGGTGGATAGAAAGCTGGCTAGATCGTCGGGCTCAACGGGTAGTGATCAGTGGTTCCATGTCTAGTTGGCAGCCGGTTTCAAGCGGAGTGCCCCAAGGGTCGGTCCTGGGGCCGGTTTTGTTCAATATCTTCATTAATGATCTAGAGGATGGCGTGGACTGCACTCTCAGCAAGTTTGCAGATAACACTAAACTGGGAGGAGTGGTAGATACGCTGGAGGGTAGGGATAGGATACAGAGGGACGTAGACAGATTAGAGGATTGGGCCAAAGAAACCTGATGAGGTTCAACAAGGACAAGTGTAGAGTCCTGCACTTAGGACGGAAGAATCCCATTCACTGTTACAGACTAGGGACCGAGTGGCTAGGAAGCAGTTCTGCAGAAAAGGACCTAGGGGTTACAATGGACAAGAAGCTGGATATGAGTTGACAGTGTGCCCTTGTTGCCAAGAAGGCTAATGGCATTTTGGGCTGTATAAGTAGGGGCATTGCCAGCAGATCGAGGGATGTGATCGTTCCCCTTTATTCGACATTGGTAAGGCCTCACCTGGAGTACTGTGTCCAGTTTTGGGCCCCACACTACAAGAAGGAGGTGGAAAAATTGGAGAGAGTCCAGCGTAGGGCAACAAAAATCATTAGGGGGCTGGAGCACATGAGTTATGAGGAGAGGCTGAGGGAACTGGGATTGTTTAGTCTGCAGAAGAGAAGAATGAGGGTGGATTTGATAGCAGCCTTCAACTACCTGAAAGGGGGTTCCAAAGAGGATGGATCTAGACTGTTCTCAGTGGTAGCAGATGACAGAACAAGGAGTAATGGTCTCAAGTTGCAGTGGGGAGGTTTAGGTTGGATATTAGGAAAAACTTTTTCACTAGGAGGGTGGTGAAGCACTGGAATGCGTTACCTAGGGAGGTGGTGGAATCTCCTTCCTTAGAGGTTTTTAAGGCCCGGCTTGACAAAGCCCTGGCTGGGATGATTTAGTTGGCAATTGGTCCTGCTTTGAGCAGGGGGTTGGACTAGATGACCTCCTGAGGTCCCTTCCAACCCTGATATTCTATGATTCTATGATTCATGGTGGGGGCCCTACATCCTCCCACAACACAAAGGATCCAGCGCTGTTGAGGCCAGCGTTTGCAGAGGTCTCCACTAACTGCGGGTGTCTCAGTTTGTAAGCACTCGGCCTGAGATCCCCCACAAGGATTGAAGCCCCCCTCCAATGAAGGACACTTTTGGAAACTGCAACATGCTCCCATCACACAGAGTCTGTGGCCACGTCAGGAGCTGGGCCAGATCTCTTGGGTCCCAGCCCAGCGCTGTGTCCACCAAGCCACTGCTGCTCCTGCAGCCCCTGCATCATTCAGCCCCAACCAGGACACTGCCTGGGGCAGGGCCAGGAGCACACAGGGGATGGGATCACGGGATTAAATAGTGACTCACGGTTCCTACGCACAAGGGGCAGCGTTAAAGTAGCCTCCCTGCCCGAGTCTCCAGGGGCTGCTGCTCCCCCCTGGCTGGGAACCCCCCAGTGACTCCATCCCGGCTACACTGCCGGGCGTCCCCTCTGCGGGGTCAGGGCTCAGGGCAGAGCCTGGCTCTGAGCATCCCATTGGCACCGAGCCCCCGGGAGGGTCTGGCTGGGGGTGGGGCTGGGAACGGGGATGCCGAGCCGGGCCCCTCACCTCTCACCACCAGCTCCACGGGGTCGCTGGGGTACGACACGGCGAACGGCTCTGATCTGCTGTGATAGGAGCAGCTGTAGCTCCCGCCCTGCTCCCGGCGCACGTTGTTGATGGGAAACACAACCCCAAACCCGTCCGAATCCACAGGTGGGAAATGGCGTCGCTCTTTATTCAGCACGAACCGCACGCCCAGGCGCTGCCCCCGACACCAGATGCTCACGGCTCCCCCCAGAGATACCCCCCCTCTGGGTCTCAGGACGATGTTGGGTTTGGGGTAGCTGGGCTCTGCAGTGGGAAGCAGACAGGCCGTGAGACGCAGGTCCCATCACTCAGTCTTGAGGCCCGTCCTCACCACGCAGCGTCAGTGGTGGGTCAGAGCCGGCGGCCCTGGGGACGGGCTCCTGGATGCCTTTCCAGAGGGGCCAGAGTTTCCTCTGAGCCCTGGGCTAACAGCATGAGACATGGAGCAACCCCAGCCCCTGGGGGCCCAGAGCTCTGCTCCCTAGCGGGTGACAGGCCAGACCAGGGTCCAGGGTCCAGTCACTCCCTGGCTTCTCTGCTGGGAGGTCTGGGAGCCAGGACTCCTGGGTTCTGTCCCCGGCTCTAGGGGGGTAGTGGGGTCTAGTGGGGAGAGCAGGGAAGATGGGGGCCAGGAGTCCTGAGTTCTGTGCACAGCACCACCCCTTACTTGTAGGGGACTGTGCAAGTCTCTAGTATACACTGAGGTTTATAACCTTCAGCTCCGCCCATCACCCCCTAACTGATGTGTTGTCTGGGAAAGGCCCCCCCTCCTCTGCAGCTCCCCCTGGGAGCAGAGATCCCCCTTCCTCTGCCACAAATCTCCAGGGGCTGCTTCTCCCCCCTGGCTGGGGAACCCCCCAGTGACTCCGTCCCCGGCCAGGTGTCCCCTCTGCTGGACCCAGGGATCAGGGCAGAGCCTGGCTCTGAGCGTCCCATCAGTGTACAGACTCCCTGTGGGTCTGGCTGGGTGTGGGGCTGGGAGCCAGGACACTGAGCCGGGCCCCTCCTTCACCTCCTACAATGATCCTGACGGGGTCGCTGGGATATGACGAGCGATTCTGATCCATAATGGAGTGATAGTCGCAGGTGTAATTCCCTCCATCTTTCCGCCCGACACTGGTGATGGGAAATTCAGCCACGGTCCCATCAGGCACTGTCCGCACCTGCAGGTTCGGGTGTCCAGCTTTACGCAGAAAGAACTCCGTGCCCGAGTACAAACCCTCACAGCGGATGGTGATGTTTTCCCCCAGCGCCATCACCCTGCTGGGGCTCACCGAGATGGTGGGTTTGGGGTTTTCACGCCCTGCTTTCAACAAGAGACAGGAGGTAAACAGGAGAGACACAGCCCCCTGCCCCCCCCACTCCAATTCAGTCCATCCATCATTCAGCCTCTCTAGGAGTCTGTCCCCTACCAGGGTTGGCACTGCCTGCTCATGGGGCTTGGGGGTAGGGGGTTCAGCCAGACATAGCTGAGGACCCGGCTGCATGAGAGATCACCTGCCCCCCCCCCCGCCCCACTTGGGGCCAGCCTGGAGGCCTGGCCAGTGGGCCTCCTGCAACTCTGCCCCCCGCCCTGGTGTTGGAAATAGAGTCTGTGACCGACGGGAGTCACATATGTCCCAACTTTTCCCCAGGCCTTGGGAACGGGGGGTGGAGGGGGTTGTGAGTGCAGGGGAGGGAGCTGCTGGGGGTGGATGTGGGGATGGGGGTGGATCTGGTTTGTTCTCCCCATGGCTGCAGTGCCCGTGGATGTTTCTGTTCCCTGAGGGGCTCTAGAGCCGACGGACAGGCCCACCCCACCCCATGTATCCCCTCCCCTGTCGTTGATATTACCGTCCACCCCACAGACTGATACTCACCTCCCCAAACTCCGCTGTGCCCTGCCAGCCAGCAGCCTGGAGAGGAGACGGCTCGTTAGTGACCAGACCCCAGAGCAACTGGATCCTACACCCTGGTCTCAGATCCACCCCTGCATGGGCACATGCCCTGGTCTCAGATCCCCCCCCCCCCCCCCCCGCAAGGCACACGCACAAACCTCAGATCCTGCCCCCATGGACAGACACCCTGATCTCAGATCCCCGCAACGGGCACACACCCTGGCTGTCTCTGATACTCACCGAGGAGGAGGACGATGAGAGCAGATGCCATGATGGGGGCACTGAGGGGCCTCTCAGGGTTGCCACCAACACCCCGGTGCCCAGCTCCACCAAGCCCCAAATAAGGAACTCAACTGGTGGCTCCAGCTACAGGAAGTTGACGATGTCTCTTCTCTTCCTGCGTCCATCACACGTTGTCTCTAATCTGCAGGCGAAATCTAGTGCAGCCAAAGCAAGCAGAGGTCCCTGCAAAACCCAGGAATCCCAGGGCCCATCAGCCTGGCCAAGCATCATGCAGCTCCCAGCTTATCTATGTCTCTGTGGGGAGCGGGGAGAGGTCACCCTCAGTGTATCCTGCAGCATTGGGGAAAGTGCATCTGACTGGGAGCCAGGAGACCACAGGGTCTTGTCTTCAATCTTCCACTGACCACTACAGTAGAACCTCTGAGTTACAAACTGACCAATCAACCACACCCCTCATTTGAAACTGGAAGTGAGCGATCAGACGGCAGCAGAGATAACTTAAAAAAAACCCCAAATACAGAACAGTTGTGTGTTAAACATAAACTGCTAAACAAATAAAGGGAAAGATTAAAAAAAAAAATTTGACAAGGGAAGGAAACTGTTTCTATGCTTGTTTCATTTAAATTAAGCTGGTTAAAAACAGCATTTTTCTTTGGCATACTTAAGTTTCAAAGCTGTACTAAGTCCATGTTCAGCTGTAAACTTTTGAAAGACCAGTGTGACGAAGTGGGGGATTTTCTTGTTTTTACGTAGGGTTTTCAATGGTTTGCATGCAGAGGGGGTGGGAATCAGTTTCCCTGAGTGTTACTGGTTTAATGAGGTGAGGGGAGAGGGAGGTTGTTGTGACAGAGGACCAGAGCGAGAACTTGGGACCCCAGCCAATGGCCTGGAGAATGGATACCCCAGCGACTGGTGATCTGGTGACTGGGAGGCCCAGCTTGGGAGTCACAGACGGTTCTGGCCAGTGGGAGGACAATGGGCTGTGAAGAGAGGATCACGGTGACCTGACCAGCCGGTTCCAGCCAGAGGACAGAAGAGGGGAGAGGAGTCCCAGCCGTCCCTGTTTACCTGTAGAGAAGACAATGGACAGAGGCGGGGCTTGGGGCTGGTGATATCAGATGCCCTGCTGGGAAGCAGGGGGGCTCTGGGTTGGAGAGGGGGAGCAGGCAGAGTCCACCTGGATGCAGGGGAGACTGGGATGTGCTGTGCTGAGGGAGGCCAGGCCTGAGGCCCTGAGAGTTTCCTGTGCTGTGTTTAGACGCTCAATAAACCCTCCTGTTCTACGCTGGCTGAGAGTCACTCCAGTCTAGAGATCAGGGTTGCATTATTCCTGCTGGGAGTGGAGGCCCCGGGGGTCCAGAGCGAGTGGACTCCCTGAGGGGGCCCACGGCAGAGACAGGCGTGCTAAGGCTCAGAGAGGTGCAGCTCCAGGAGGTGGAGGGGCCTAACCCCGAGAGAGAGTGGACCCCCGAGAAGGGCTGTCTCACTGAAGGGGGTTCCCCCCATGGACTGCATGGGGCCAAGAGTGGGCATGACCTGTGAGTCCGTGACACCCTGGTCTCAGATCCCCCCCAGGGGCACACACCCTGGCTGTCTCTGATACTCACCGAGGAGGACAGTGAGAGCAGATGCCATGATGGGGGCCATGAGGGGTTCTCAGCAATTGGGTTGCTGGACTTAAGACCCTGAGGGGAAAAGGACACTGCCAAACTTACTTGGGGGTGGGTCTTTTGCTCATGGTTTGTGTTATGAATCCTGTTTGTGGTGTTTCCCCAACATAATGCCGCATTGTTTCCCTCTTTATTAAAAGGCTTTTGCTACACTCAGACTCTGTGCTTGCGAGAGGGGAAGTATTGCCTCTTAGAGGCGCCTGGGGGATGGTATGTAATTGCCCCAGGTCACTGGGTGGGGGCTTGAGCCGGTTTTGCATTGTGTTATTTATTGAAACGGAACCCCTAGATACTGAACCCGGCCCTTGTTGCTGCCAACTCTGATGGGTAGAAGGGTTACACAGAGGACCAGCGAGGGAACTTGGGACCCCAGCCAATGGCCTGGAGAATGGAGACCCCAGTGACTGGTGACTGGGAGGCCCAGCTCAGGAGTCACAGCCGGTTCTGGCCATTGGGAGGACAATGGGCTGTGAAGGGTGGACCAGCCAGAGGGGGCCAGAGGACAGAAGAGAGGAGAGGAGGCCCAGGTGACCCTGTTTACCTGAAGAGAAGACAATGGACAATGGCTTGGGGGAGGTGATATCAGATGCCCAGCTGGGAAGCAGGGGGGCTCGGGACTGGAGAGAGGGAGTAGGCAGAGCCCACCTGGATGCAGGGGAGACTTGGATGAGCTGTTCTGAGGGAGGCCATGCCTGAGAGTTTCCTGTGCTGGATTCATACGCTCAATAAACCCTCCTGTTTTACGCAAGCTCAGAGTCACTCCGGGCTAGAGAACAGGGTTGCATTATTTCTGCTGGGAGTGGAGGCCTTGGGGGTCCAGAACGAGCGGACTCCCTGAGGGGGCCCACAGCGAGAGACAGACGTGCTAAGGCTCAGAGAGGTGCAGTTCCAGGAGGTGGAGGGGCCTAACCCCGAGAGAGAGTGGACCACCGAGAAGGGCAGTCTCACTGAAGGAGGTTCCCCCCAGGAAGTGTACGGGGCCAAGAGTGGGCATGACCTGTGAGTCCGTGACAGGCCCCAATACGCCACTGCTGCATTAGGGGGTGTTATGCTGCAGGGAGCAGGAGGAGGGGCTCAGTAGAGGGGCGCTCTCCCCTGTCAGTCAGCGCTGGCCCTGATACCCCAGTGTACTGCTAGTGGGCGCTGTGCTGCAGGAAGTGGGGGCAGAGGTCACTAGGGGTCGCTCTTCCCTGCTGTCAGTGCTGGCCCCAGTGCTAAGCAAAGTTCCAATTACTCCTGCAGAGAGAAATCCTACGAAAACTTGTGCGACAGTTACAGCCGTGGTCATCTTCACACCCCACCGGTGTTCTCGGCTCCGATGGACCTCTCAATAGACAAGCAACGCTAGCGGGATGGTTCCTGCTGGGGTTTCCCTTGGGTCTGCCCTCTTTCATATTGTAGTTCTGACCACACCTAACACATGAGAACAGCCAGACTGGATCAGACCAAAGGTCCATCTAGCCCAGTATCCTGTCGTCTGACACTGGTCAATGCGAGTGATCCATCCCCTGTCGTCCTCCCAGCAAACAGAGGCTAGGGACACCATCCCTGCCCATCCTGGCTAATAGCCATTGATGGACCTGTCCTCTATGAACGTATCTAGTTCTTTTTTGAACCCTGTTATAATCTTGGCTTTCACAACATCCTCTGGCAAGGAGTTCCACAGGTTGACTGTGCGTTGGGTGAAGAAATACTTCCTGTTGTTTGTTTTAAACCTGCTGCCTATTAATTTCATTGGGTGACCCCTAGTTCTTGTGTTATGAGAAGGAGTAAACAACATTTCCTTATCTACTTTCTCTACACCAGTCATGATTTTATAGACCTCAGTCATATCCCTCCTTAGTCATCTCTTGTCCAAGCTGAAAAGTTTTAATCTCTCCTCATTATGGCAGGCATTCCATACCCCTAATCATTTTTGTTACCCTTTTCTGAACCTTTTCCAATTCCAATGTATCTTTTTTGAGATGGGGCAACCACATCTGCACGCAGTATTCAAGATGTGGGCGTAACATGGATTTATATAGAGGCAATATATTATTTATTGTGTTATTATCTATCCCTTTCTTAATGATTCCCAAGATTCTGTTCGCTTTTTTGACTGCCGCTGCACATTGAGTGGATGTTTTCAGAGAACTCTCCACAATGACTCCAAGATCTCTTTCTTGAGTGGTAACAGCCAATTGAGACCCCATCATTTTATATGTCTGGTTGGGATGATGTTTTCCAACTTGCATTACTTTGCATAGATCAACACTGAATTTCATCTGCCATTGTGTTGCTCCATCACCCAGTTTTGAGATACTTTTGTAGCTCTTTGCAGTCTGCCTGGGACTTAACTATCTCGAGCAGTTTTGTGTCATCTGCAAATTTTGCCACCTCACTGTTTATGCATGAAGGTGTGTCACGCACTCACAGCCACCCCCCCCCCATGCTCTCTCAGCTCCGTACGGTCCCCGGGAGGAACTCCCCTCAGTCTGAAAGCCCTTCTCGGTGTCCACTCTCTCTTAGGGGCTAAGCCCGGGCTTCCAGCGTCTCCTGGAACTGCACCTCTGAGCCTCCAGCCCGCCTGGCTCCCTCTGGGAGCCCCCTCGGGGGGTCCCCTTGCTCTGGCCCCATGGGGCCACCACCCCCAGGGGGAGTGATGCCCCCCAATCTACAGCCTGCTGGGACCCTCAAAACAGGAGGGTTTATTGTACAGCCGAACCCAGCCCAGGCAGTTCTCAGGGGCCTCAGTCCTGGCCAGTCTCAGCACCGTCCAGATGGGTCTGTCCCAGTCCAGGTGGTTCAGACTCCTCTTTGTCCCCAGTCCAGAAGCAACTTCCTTCCAGCTGACCCCCCATATCACCTTCCCCACAGCCCCTCCTCCGCCCTTTGTCTTCCTTCCAGGCAAACAGACCCCCCCCCCCCCCCCGCTCTTTTCCATCCTTTGTCTTCCCACTGGCCAGAACTGGCCGGCTCCCAAGATGGACTGGGCCTCCGGGTCACTGGTTGCTAAGTTCTACCATGTCCAGGCCATTGTCCGGGGTCCAGGCTGCTAGGCGAGATCACACCTGGCCCTCTGTACCAGCAAACCCCCTCTCCCACCACCTCGTTACACACACAGCACACAGGGGAAACTGAGGCACGCCCCGTACTCATGCTCAACACTAAGAAAATCCCCTGCTTTGTCACAAGGCATCATCCCGCTTTTCCTTAGCTGCACTTCCACACCCCGTGATTATTGGTGTGCCCCGTTTTTCATAAGTTGTTTGTAGTTCATTTTCGTCTCTGCGCAGCTACACATCGCAGGTACCATGTGGTCAGGACAGACATTTAAAGATGTTACAATCAGGCCGGGTGGCTGGTGGTTTCGGACAAT